TATCTCTACTTTCATCACCTATTCTCTATCAGAAATTTCCTATGGAGTAGCCTCTAGTGTCTAATTTTTCTCTTTCTGAGGTCGTGTAATTGAGGTAATCTAACAATGCCTGGCTACCTCCTAATTACCTCTTAACATCACTATCCACATAAGTGTGGGGAACTTCATACACATATGTGATTAAAAGACTACAGCTTGGATCTCTGTTAATGTAGGTCAACCAAAGACAATTTTGAAGGAAGATGCCATTTTAACAACTACGAATCGAATTGAAGGAGTGACATAAGTTTGTCCTTATCCAAATGCCACATTGAGAGTAAGGACCAATTTACCTAGGACTGGTTGGTTATTAAACCCATAAATAGGACCATCATATTTCTATGATAAAGTTTTATCGAGACCCAAGCTCTCAAAACAATGATAGTACATTATATCAAGTGCACTGCCAATATCAATAAGGACACGTTTTACTTCATAATTATTAATTATAACAGAAGTGAGCAACGGATCATTGTAGGGTGTCACAACCCCATCGAGGTCAGTAGATGTGAAGGTGATAAGCTAATTCTTCCACTTAGCATCATCAAACCTTTTTTTCTAAGCTTAGTTTGATGCTTCACCTCTTTAACATATAACTTTCGTTGTTTAGAACTCAAGCCCCCTACTTCTAGTCCACTCTTAATCATGTGAATAATTCTAACTAGGGGTGGAAGGAGTGGAATAACTTGTTGATATCCCACTCCCTCTTTGATATTTGTATTACGAGAGCCCTATGGTTGTACTCATTAACTTCCAACTCAAACCTCAGGTTATTACATTCTTTAGTCATGTGGCATGGTCTTGGTGGAAGTCACAATATCTAGTATGATCTTGTGTAGCAATAGAGCTTTTCATTGGTGTTGGTCATTTCCGATCCATCTTATTCTTAATTTTCATGAATATCTGTGACCTCGATAGGTTGAAAGGGGTCCATGTCCCTGGTATCTTTCCAGAAGTTTGCTTAGGAGTTACTGAATCTAGTTTTCCGAATTTGGGTGTAGAGATTGGAATCGAACCTCGGTTCTTAACTGCCTTCACTTGTTTCCTACTCTACCCTTCTTCTCTCTAAGCCAAGTTTTGGTTCTTAACTAGTACTAGCTTCTATGACAAGGGCATATTCTTCAGCTATTATGAACTTCTGACATCTGTCATTAACTTCATCAAAGGTGGCAAGAGGATGCTTAATCAAATTGTCCCTGAATCTTTCATCGTTCAGGCATTAAATTATAGCTGCTATTCCCATAGCTTGGTCAAAGGAACTTATCTCAAGAACTACATCATTGAATCTATTCATGTAGTTTTCAAAGATTCCCCCTCCCTTTGTATAACCTTTATGAGCTTAGGTGCAATCTTCTTAATTAGCCTTCTATTGGAAAATTTTGTTACAAAGACAGTAGCCATTTCTATGTAAGAATTAATAGATCTCGAAGGCAAACTATAGTACCATGTTCGAGCATTACCTTAGAGAGTAAAAGGTGAAATTTTGCACATCAAAACGTCTGAGGCATTTTGAGTTTGCATACAAGAATAGAAAGCATGTAGGTGGTCATATGGATCCTTAGTTCCATCATATGTTTCAAACTGAGGCATCTTGAAACTAGCAGGATAGGGTTCCAAAGTTTTGTTGGCATTCGACGGATGTGGCATGGAGTTAGTGTTGTTTTGTGGAGGTGGAGCACCTCGTTGTTCAACTACCATCCTTTCTAGACTATCCGATCAGCGAGTAACATCATCGGGCAAAGGTGGTTGAGGTGGAATCGCGTGAGACTAGCCTTGTGTCTCACTCACGGCTAGGACAACTCGATTATCATTGGAGTGACCTTGAAATGGTTCCTATGGCTGAATTGGGGGTTGTTGGGCTAGATTGAGTAAAGTAAAAAAGGGATCACTAGGATTATTTCTAGCTAAGAGCTGAGCCAAAATTAGTTGGAAAACACCAAACTATTGTTGCATTGCTACAAGCTGAGCTACTACTGGGTCACCTTGATTGGGAAGGGGAATTGAGTTGTGAGGTTGGTTTTCATCACCTCCTTCTACATGTTCCATAGGAGTGAATGGGTTTGGGGTGGGTGGTGGAAAGTTGTTTGTGTTCTGGCCTTGACCTCGTCTACGAAGCTGAGTTTGACTTCCAGTCCGGACAAATTAAGTATTAACCATGGTGAAAGGGCAATAATAAGGCTTTTAATTCAGGTTTCCATAGACGGCGCCAAATGTAATTGTAACAAACCAATAAGCCTCCTTCAATCCAAGCCTTCTCTTCGGTTTAACTTGCTAAGCCTCAAGGTTGGTCCTCGGGGTAGACACTCTGATGCCTAAGTTATCAATAATCTGATCTACCTTAAGAAATATCGTAAAAGTTTTACATCAGTTTCAATTACCTTTTTGAGGTGACCCATGTGGGTATTTATAGGCCTTAATGCAGTGTCCATGTGGCTTGCTTAGCAACATAATCGGATCCTGACGTATCCAGCAGAACAATGATCTTAGGAATAGTGGATTGGGTGAGGGCATGTTCACAGTAATTATCATACAACTGGGAAAAACTAAATTTAGACTTCACTCTTACCATCGACTAACTGGAATCAACAAGCGAAGGATTGAATTCTGCAATATGCACAATACGTTCGGGATAAGTGATCTCAAACTTATCCTTAGCCTATCCTTACAAGTGCTCAACTCTAAAAAGCCCGATTTGTATGTGCTTCTTGGTGTAGAAGACGATGATTGAATTGAACAATAGGGAGACATGGTGATGCACGGTGCAAATGCAGTCTCAAGTACTCGATAAATAGAAACCCATTTCAATTTCAACTTCAGACATGATTATTGAGATAGTTTTGAAAAAAGGAAAGGTAAAACTAAAGAAAACCCAAATCCCAAATGTTCTTGTTAAGTGTGGATCGAAAAAGACTAGTCGATTTTTTCGTTTTTCCTTTTTCATTTAGTTGAACTTTGCCACATGTGACATCTTTAAGGGCTCATCTTCTATTCCATGGCCACATCAGTAGAGAAGAGTCATTAAGTGCATGTTTGGTGCAGCTGGTGAGAAGTGCTTTTGAAGTCCAAAAGCTCTAACTGCACCAAATACCCTTACTTTTGAAATTGCCTCAAGTGAAGAAAATCTCAAGCTAGCTTCCACCTTTTGAAAATTCCAAAACAAGAAATCCTTGCTTTTGCACATGCTTCTAGCTTCCTTTTAATGAAAATTACCCATTATACTTAATTTAGCCTAATATTTTAACAAATTTACGATTAAACCACTATATATACTGTTAAATATCCCTAATTTTGCATCTCCCCTTGCCTCCCAATTGCTCCTCTCTACCCATCTTCCATCTGCCACTTTCTTCACCAAATCCTAAGCTTGAGTTTTCTGACATTCTCATCTGTCGATTGCCCTTCTCTACCCATCTTCTCCATCTGCCAATTACTACATCTTTTTTCCCTTTTTTTTTTTATTTTGCGTCTCCCTCTACTGATTGCTTGCTATACCCATCTTTCATTTGCCACACAGCTACACCAAATCCCGATTATGGCATCCTCATCATCCTCATCCCAAATCCAGCATGTAAGCTCCTTTTCCTCAAACTTTAATCTTCTAGATTATGGGTTTTATTACTACATCCTTTTCTCCTTTTTGATTTCTATAAAGCATGGCTTTTGCATTCAATTTTCATGGAATTTCTTAGTTTTTTCCTGTTCATCAATTTGCATGCCATCTTCTCAGCTTTGTCTTTTAAGCTAGAGCAAGCACAAGTCACATTTCTACTATTTCCTTGCCTATTCTGCCTATTACCAAGTAATTTTCTAGGTACACACATGACTTGATTTTTGTCCTGTAGATTTACCTTCTGCGTTCTTAGTCCTAAGTATATTCTTTCTATCAAATATTGCATTGTCTATGCGGAATAATGGAAGGGAAGGAGAAAGCATCAATAAAAGGCTTCTCACTGTTATTTTTTGTTGACAATTCTCAATTCAATCCTATTAAAACCAGCTGGCATTGCTTATTGGTTTCATTAAAATATTACTTTTGCTATTGGGTTGAGAGGGATAACCATAAAGCAAAATCATCTTTTGAACAAAAACCTATGGCCATTTTTATTGATATGTTGAATGACACTAGTTCCAGATGGTGTAGTAATTGCAGCTGATTTTAGGATGATTTGGATTTTACATGCAAAATAAAGACGAAAATGTAGAAGATGCCTAAAGAAACAAAGGTTGAATAGCTTGAAGTCAATGATCTTCAGATGCTTAATTATAGTTATATAAATTAAATGTAGATTCTCTTGGTTGTTGTTTTTAACTTGGGTAACGTAGCTTTTGTGGAAAAATAAAAAGAAGGGTTGTACGTTGATTAGGATGTTTAAAGATATTTGTCTCTTCGATGAATGGTTTCAGTCATGTAATGGACTTATGGAGCAAATAAGGTTTTTTTTTTTTTTTTTTTTTTTTTGCACATCTTTGATCATTTCTTCCTTTATTGTTGTTTGTCTTTTGCTTCTTCCATTTCATTTTTTGTGGGCGTAGTGAGCCATGGAAGATTAAGATGAAGGTTATGGCATAATGGGAGTTTGGAGGGTGCTTTGTTGGACAAGATGAGTATTTCTTGCAAGGGAAGGTAGAAAAAGAATAGAGGAATTGTTTTCGATTGTACTAGCTTGGTTCCTATGTTTTTGGAGCAATGTCAAAAGTTTTTAAAGATGAAGCTAATTTTGGAGAACATTTGTTGGAGTTGATACTAGCAAAATCATTTTTATGGGTTAAGAACAAAGACAATAGTTGTGCTTTCACATTTCAGAAACTATGTATCTCGTTTGGCAAATTGTGTAATGGCTATTACACAGCATAAAGGAAACATGAAGATTTAACGCAAACCAAAGAATGGGCTTGGCTAAGCACCTGAGCCTGAAAGTGAGGATTTGTTCAGCAAATCATATTGTAGTAGTTTTTTTTAGAGTACTTTGGTTACTAGACTAGCATTAAGACTTTGATTATATATATGATACCATGATGTATTTATATTTTATTTTTTCTAATAAAAATAATTATAGAATTCTTGATAAATGAGATAGATTTCTTGATTTTTTTTTTTTGAAAAAAGAGAGAAATAATACTTTTTTTAAGAAAATGGTTTTTTCATTTTTAATGGAAAATCACCAAAATGATTGTTACTGTCAATTTTTATTTTTATTTTCTTATTTATAAAACTTAAATGTAACATGTTTTATTTTTTAATATTAAAATACAAACATTTATTTATTTATTAATATCAAAATTATTAATTACTAATAGTTATATTTTATAAATATAAAAAATTTCATTTGTAATCATCAATTTTAATATAATTAAATTAAAAAAGAATTAAAGCTCTATATAAATGTCAGAAAAAAGAAAAAGAAAAAAAAGAGAGAAACAATGTTTTTTTAAAGAAAATATCATTTTTAGTCATTTCAGAATTAAAAAATCTCTTATAAAAAAATTTATCTATACTTTAAAAGTTTTTCAATAAAAAATTTTACTAAATACTTTTAACTTCTAAAAAATAGAACTTCTACAACAGAATCTTTCAAATAAGATTTCTATCAAAAACTTCTATCAAAAACTTTAACCACACCAAACAAGTTCTAAGTTCCAACGCTTATGTAATATCCCAAATTTTCGGGAATATTTAAGTGTAAGTTAAGGTTTTGATTGTGAGAAAAGATTGTTTTGGGGCCTAATATGAATATTTCAAAAATTGAGGGATTTAAAGAGGGAAAATAATTGGATAAGGATCAGTTTCTTTTCTTTTTCTTTTTCCTTCTTTTCTTCCCCAGTAGACCTGGCAAACGGGCGGGTTGGGTCGGGTTAGGGTCGGGTCAGAACGGGTAACGGGTCAAAACGGGTTGGGTTAAAACGGGTCACGGGTCAATGAAGGCAGATCCTAACCCGCCCATCACGGGTCACGGGTCAACCCGCGGGTTGACCTAATTAATTTTTTTTTCTTTTTTTCTCTATAATTTATACCTATTACAATTTAAATTATTTTGGATAGTTGATTGGTTTCACAATCTAAAAATTAACATTCAAATACCAAATTTCATATAAACTAGTTAAGTAAGCATAAGTAGAATAGAGATTTCATCGCAAGAAATAACAAACAATAGCTTTTAAAATTCCATTGTTTGTATTCTTTCGGCATAACATAAAACTTGAAAAGAAAAGAAAAATGAACAATGACTTCTTTCCTTGATGCATACTTCTATCATTGATCTAAAAGTTAACAATATCAATTT